GACTGGTTAAGTTCGCCCACTCTGCTTTGGCAACCCAGGATTTCGCCAGTTCGGATCCTCAGGGTGGACATGGCACTGCTCATCAAGTCATGCTGAGGCAGCGTCCCACATAGCACAACCAGAAGGACCTACAAGTATAATATACAACTATGTACTGGGGGACTTTAGGGAGAAGGGAAAAAAAAAAAAGATAAAATTGGCAACAGATGTTAGCTCAGGTGCCAATCTTAAAAAAAAAAGCTCTATGTATATAAAAGCAAAATCTTTACAAAGCAAAAGTAACATAGGAAAGAATTCAAGATAAAGGCAAAAAAAAAACCACCCAATTTTTAAGTGATCTAGAAACAATGAAATTTTTTTGTTTTAAGATTCTTTTTCTTCCTTTTCTCCCAAAGCCCCCTGTTACACAGCTGTGTATTCTTAGCTGTGGGTCCTTCTAGTTGTGGCATGTGGGGTGCCAGCCCAGCATGGCTCGATGAGTGGTGCCATGTCCGTGGCCAGGACTCGAACTAGTGAAACCCTGGGCTGCCGAAGCAGAGCACGTGAACCCAACCACTCAGCCACAGGGCCGGCCCCAATGAAATTTTGATATACTTACCATTCAGAGACTTTCTCTAAGGAAAATAGACAAAATTCAAAGCAAAATCAAAATAGTTCAAAAGTAGCAGCTTCTAAGCATTTTCAAGTTAGCCAAAAAGTATATCTAATAAAATTCCATGAAAGCAAGGGCAATATCATTTGTTTACTCCTCTAATACATAGTACAAACTTTTACCAGATATCCAAATATTCATTCAGTAAATGAATTATCCAGAAATAAGCACTTCCAAACGAAAAATAGCCAATAGTCAAAATTTCAAATACCTGTGACAATTACTGAGCTTCATCCAAAAAAAGCAAGTAAAAAATCTGTTACCCTCTTTAACAAGGAAGGTTAAATGTAGCTTTGACTAACCATATTACTTTACAAATAACAGTAGCCTTTTGAGAGTTTAAGTGCCAGGTTCTAAGTGTGTTTCTAAATGAAGAAAGGGAGACAACATAAAATTTACTCGCCAAGTTTGTACAACTCAGAAGTGGTTGAACTGGAATTTGAAACCAAGTCTGATGACAAAGCTAAAGTCCTTAACATCTATGCTATATATTAATATGAAACATAAGAGTGTTAAAAAGAAAAAAGTTAGGTACTAGATGTATCTGACAGCCAAAGCACTAACACTGAAAATAAAATGCAAAGATCTGCTGAGAAATAGTTTCCCATGATGCTCTTCTGAGATAGGTTGAGGGGAGGGGACATAGCAAGGTATTGAAAAGTGTGCTAAACAGAAAGAATTTAAATTGACCAGAAATGCTTAACCTTGAATAATCTCAGATCTGTAGATACATAAAGCTGGCCCTCCTATGAGAACAAATTCATACCTTCACTGCTCAAAACAAATCGAGTCAAAAATAGCAACCTCTAAATCTAAATCATTGCCCTTATCCAAAAAGTTAAAAATAATGTAAGCTTAATATACAGGTAGTTACATAAATATTTATAGCTATATGGATGTACAAGAGTTATTACTCATACGTATATTTACTCACTCTGTCAGCTGAGGGCCCTAAAAGCAATGACACCTCAGTGGCAAGGAGCATACCTAGAACTTGGATCTTGGTTTCTAACACCATTCTCCGATTAAAGGAACCAAGCCTCCTTGGAGAAATGGTTGAATCTAGGCCCGGGGCAAGAAATAGTCAAGATGAGCCTGGAGCACCTTCTAGCACCAGAAAGTGCTTTAGCAAAAACAAACAAAACACACCACAATAATGGGGGTATGTTGAAGGGACACAGGAGAAAAAACACCCATACTGATGTAAATAAATGACTGACTGAATAAATAAATGGGGGAAAAGAGACAAGTCTCCCATGTAGAATTACCAATAATTTTTGTAGATAATCTGCCCTCACGGAAGTAGAGTACATAGCTCCCCACTCCTTAAGTGTGGGCTGCATATAGAGACTTCACCTCAAAGAACAGAGTATAGAAAGGGGAAGGTGAGGGAGACTAACTTCACAGTGAAGAAGCCTGACAAACACTACCTCAACCAGGTGATTAAGGTTCACATTAACGGCACTTAGTTAGTACTGATGTAAAACGCATTATAATTAGCAAACAGAATGTTGACAGTATGTGCCCTAGATATGATGTGATGAAAATAACACTTCATCTCTGTGGTCTTCCTCTTAAAATTATGTAAATCCAGTCAAACAATGAGGAAAACAACAGATGAATCCTAATAGAAGGACTTATAAAATACCTGACAAGTAGTCCTAAAGACTGTCATGGTCATCAAAAAGAAAGAAATGTCTGAGAAACCGTCACAGCCAAAAGGAGCCCAAGGAGACATGACAACTATTCAATATAACACTAATGTAAATCCAATGTAGTACCCTAGATGGGACTAAGTAGATACAGTTAAGATACAGTTCAATCATTACATCAAATGTACCATACTAATCTGTTAATAACAGGGCAAACTTGGTGTGGGATATCTGGAAACTCTGTGGTATCTTCCCAATTATGCTACAAATCTAGTAAAACTGTTCTAAAATAAAGAGTTTATTTAAAAAGTAACAATGTGAAAAAATATCAACATAGAAAGTATTGGTAACTGAAAGGGATGAAATCAATGGGTGATGAAGACAACAGTACGGCAATTGGGCTTTCAATATTAACAATTCCGTCTGAACTATGAGCACTACATAAAGCACTGTCTTAATTTATAAGTCTTGCCCATATGATGTAAGTTTATTTCCAGACTTTGTGTTGTTACTGAAAACTTTTTTTCTCTTTTACTAAATGATTGTAGCAAGGGAAGCAACTGGTATTTAAACAGCCACCTTACTGATTGCTCATAATGCCCTAATATGTTTATTTTCTCAACTTTTCCAGGTATTTATAAGTAATAACTTAGCCTTCTCCAATATTTACACTTTGTTGTTCTCCTGCCTATCTGTATTATCTAGCACATCTAAAAAGATTTTAAATAGCAGCAGTATTAACTGGCTTCCTTGTCTGGCTCCTGTCTTCAATGGTAATACTTCTGGCTTTCCCTGCCATTAAGCATGATGCTGGGTGTGTTTTATAATATTCATCTATTCCACCTGTACCTCTTACCAAGAATTTTTTTTTAAATCAGAAATAGATTCAAATTTTTATTTAGATGCAAAAAACATTTTCAATTAGATCATTTGTTTTCTTTGTTTTATTAAGATAAATTGTATTAAAACATTTCCTAATAATGAACTATTCTGCTTCTTGACAAACCATTCTTGGGCGAGGTATTCTTTTAATATATAGTCATAATTTTATTTGCTAAATATAACTTAGGTTTTACATCAATATGTAGTGAGACTGGTGTGGTTTTTGTCATCTTTTAATATCAGTGTTATACTAAATTTATAAAGCAATAGGAAGCTTTCCTTTTTTTAATGTTGTGCATCGATTTAGGTAACAATTATCTATTCTTTATAGGTTAAAAGCGATTCATCAGTGTAGCCACCCAGGCCAGAGACTTTTGAGATAACAGATTTTTGCCAGTTTCCTTGATTCTTTCTAGATATACAGATCTGTTTGCACTCTTCCAGAGATCTAAAATTATCTCTATTTGCATAAATAATTCACCTCATCTACCAATGTTTAATTTTTAGCCCTGAAAATGCTCTGAAAAATTGAGTCTGGGTCCCAATTTATCCCAACCAGTAAAAGAACTAAGAAAAAATAGTTATAAGGATAGGACAGGATGAAGCAAAACTGTCATTCAATTATTTCTACAAAATTTACTAGAACAGAATTTGAAAAGGTTGGATACAAAGGTCAATAAATCAATTGCATTTCTATATATCGGCAAACAAATCTCTATTTTAAAAGATAACCATTTATGACAGCATCAAAAATAAAGCTACTAGAAATAAATCAAGATATGTAAAGAGGCAACTAATTGAGAAAGATGACAAAGATCTAAACTAATGGAGACACCTATCTATCATGTCCATGAATGAAGGACTCAACATTGTAAAGATGGCAATTCTCCAAGCTGATCTACAGATACATCACCCATTGAAATCCCATCAGATTATTTACCTGCAGAGTTTTGACAACCTAATTCTAAAATTTTTACATGCACGTGTTAAAAGCCAAAAACCAAGACACCCTTGAAGAGGAATTAAATTTGGGAGATGGGGGAAAGCGAAATTCAAAATAGTCTACCAGGCTACAGTACTTAGTACAGTATGGGCAGAGGGCACACAAACAGATCAGTGGAACAAAGAAGAGGGCAGTCTGGCAGTATGCTGTGACTGAACAACCAGCACTTCTCTTTCTAGGTAAAAATTCCTAAAGAAATTGTTGAACACGTGCATCAGGATACACACAGAAGGTTCAAAACAGCACTGTTTGTACCAGCTGAAACTGGAAACAGCCCAAATAGCTATTAATCATGAATTAGATAAATACATTGTGGCATGTTAATAAAATGGAGTAACATAATAGTGAAAAAATACAGCTATACGCATGAGACTCCAAGTTGAGAAAAAGAATTCTATCATATAAAATTCAAATATAGGTAAAACAACAAAACATTTATTGATACGTAACTAACACTAAAGAAAAATAAAATGATTCTAACAACGGAACAAGTAAGTTTACCTCTTAAGGAGAGAGAAGGAGAAGCATTCTGGTAGGGGCACACAGGAGGCTTTAAAAAGGAACTGGTATCATCCTACTTCTTAATCTTGGTGGAATTACACAGGTGTTTGCTTTATTATTCTTTAAACTGTATACATACATTTTATACATTTGTCTATCTATGTTTCACAATTTTTTAGAGACTACTTTCAAAAGTTAAAGTATTCACAGCCCAGTCTTTGCCTTCAAATAGGAATCAATGCTTACTTATTCAAAACATCCTGAGGAGACTAGACATCTATATTCTCACAAGTTGAAGACGACTACATACCTTATATATTCCAATGCCAGGATCAACAAGAAAATCACGAGTTGATGTTGATGGCTGACTGGAACTTCCCACCCGTGGAGTTTTCTTTACTTTAGGTGGACTGTTAGAACAGGGTTTGGCCTGTACATCGGTCTGTTTTGATGTGCTAGGAAGATCAGGGTCTGGGCGAACTAGTAGCTGAATTATGTCATTCAGTCCAACATCATAGTCAAATAAAGTATATCCATTTTCCAACTAGAAAAAAAGATAGAAAAAGATTAAAATGCTTCTCTCAAAACTTGATCTTTCTACATCTTTAGTTACCCAAGTGTCCTAACCAAATTATTAAAATAAAATTCACAGCATTGCAATTTAGTGATCTTGAAACCAATTCCTATTACTTTATGGTCTATGATGTCAGCATCTTCTCAGGACCTCAATAAATTCTTAAGAATCACTCCATATTACCTATAGGGAACAGTGATAGCCACTGAAACCAAAAATGTAGCATTGTGACCTCATTGCTTAGTAGAAAAACTCGATTTCTCACCAAGTTTTGTTTATTTTAATGAACAGTGACTGAATCCACTGCAAGAAAGAAAAGGTGAATTTTGAAAGTAGGTTGTTTTATGACTGTGTTCTTAAAGACATTAAGTTAATCATTTTATTTCTGAAGCACTGTAATTTTTCTTAAAAAATCAAGTAGGAAAAAAAAATTCAAGCAATAATTACAATTCTTCCTCATGCTATTCCGTTTGCCTAAAGTTCTCTAATTCTATCCATCCATAAGTTACCAAGCTGGGGCCGGCCCCGCGGCCAAGTGGTTAAGTTTGCGCGTTCCGCTTCGGTGACCCAGGGTTTTGCCGCTTCAGATCCTGGGCGGACATGGCACTGCTCATCAGGCCACGCTGAGGCGGCGTCCCACATGCCACAACTAGAAGGACCCATTACTAAAATATACAACTATGTACTGGGGGGCTTTGGGGAGAAAAAGCAGAAAAAAAAATGGAAGAAAAAAAGTTACTAAGTTGCATCATGGAAAGTCTTCCAGAATGAATAGTGAATAAATTATCTTATTTTGGTAAAGTCTCTGTAATAGATTGAACTATTCCCTCCCCCCCCCCCAAACCACCACCTCCTGCCAAAATATGTTGAAGTCCTGATCCTGAGTATCTCTGAGCATGATCTTATCTGGAAACGGGGTTTTTACAGCAGTAACGAAGTTAAAACTAGGTCGTAAGGGTGGGCCCTAATCTATTGTGATTGGTGTTCTTATAAAAGTTGAAATTTGGACACAGAGACAGACACACAGAAGGAAGATGTAGAGCTAGATAGGGAGAGGACAGCAACATGACCGGGGTGATGCATCTACAAGCCAAGGAACACCAAGGATTGCTGGCAAACGCTAGAAGCTAAAGGAAGCAAGGAAGGATCCTTTCTTAGAACACAGAAAGCATGGCCCTGCTAACACCTTGATTTCAGACTTACAGCATCCAAAACCACGAGACAATGCGTTTCTGTTGTTTTAAGCTACCTAGGTTGTGGTACTTTATTACAGAAGCCCTAGGAAACTAATAGTCTCCATTTTGTTTCTTCATAAAATTTGGTTGGCCAATTCACCATGATTCAATAAGAAAACTAAACTCCTTGAAGATCAGAACTATCACTTCCCCAGAAATATTACCAATTTAGTCACTGTTCATTTTTCCTCTTTGTATATAATACCTGTCATCATCCACAACTCTCTATCACAATAAGATCATATTTGAGAAGTCAACCAAAGGGAAAGAATGAAAGTCTGTCTTTGAATGATAAACTCACTAATGTACTAGATAAGTAATTTTATTTCAAGTGGTCCAAGAACACACCAAGCACAATGCTGCACATTACAGTTGTTCACAAATGTCAAACAGAACAAGGGATCAAGAAATTCCCAAGTTTCCAATGGGGGAATTAAATTAGACACTATCTCACAGGTTAACCTGCTTATTCCAAATGAGCCTAAGGAGTCTCCCAAGTCAGTAAGTAGATAAAACCTCATAGGGCTAAGGATGTTAATATTGCTTACCTTATGAAAAAATAAGAACTCCCTCTAATCCTGAACACCTGGGGGAAAAACTCAAAGAGCAAAAAACTATACACTCACAGCTTCATTTTTGATATTCTTCAATAGCTTTCCCCACCCTCCGCTCCCCCAACCCCTGGCAAAAGTAAGAACACCCTAATGTTGGAACACCTGAAAAAGCACAACTTGATTAAACATAAAACTGTTGCAGCCTATGATAATTAAAAAAATGGAAGTGTTCAAAGTAGGAAATAAAAAACTAACAGCATAGAACACACAAATTAACTGGCAGGGCATTCCCCAAAATGAAGGTAGCTGTTAAGGTGGCAAAATAACTGGAAATCCAAAGCGTTTCCACAAACATTCTTCCATTGAAATTTGAGGCACAAGAGTCAGAGGGACCTTGGAGGCATTCTTACACTCAACCACTCTGACTAGTTTCTACCAAGTGATCAAAGTAAACATAAGCTGCTTCAAGCTGTACTTGGTTTGAAAGGAAAAGCAATGTCTGAAGTTGGAGTAAACACTAAGCTTATCAAGGCAAAGGGCCCTATAACAGAAGTTAGGTCCATGTTAACATGTAAACACCTTTCCTCCAATTATTCATGCTTGCTATGATAGCCACTTTTACCCAGATTACCTACTTCCTTAATTCATAGCTATAGTTCCACTTTTCCTAAAACAGTGATAATGTCCATTGCATAGCAACTTCCACACAGCTAGGCCATCATGAAAAGTTGAAGAATGTTGGAATGATTTGTTACTTGAAAAGTAGTGAAGTTCTCCCATTAATTTAATGAAAGTGTAGACTGAAAGTTACCTGTCACTTAAATTATGCTTTGAGTGGGGAGAAAGGGATTGGGTCATTTAGAAACTACAAATACCTATGAGTTTCAGGCTTGTAACTGTAGTCCATCAATGTCTCATAGCAGAAAATGTTTGAGAACTGCCACCTGAGAAGACGAGGTTGTAGGATTTACAATACTAGAGAGGAGGGAATGGTTCTAGAATTTGTTTTTGCCAGACCACATCCTTGAATTTTTACTGAGTTGAAGGAAGAAATTCCAGGTAACAGAATTGCAACCATGATGCAAGGGAAAACTAGGAAGCAAACACCAAGTAGCACTGGCTGAGAAGGCAGTGAGGAAGTCATTCCCAAGGGGCTACTGATAAGGATATAGGTGGAGGGCATTAAGTTAATAACTTCCATGTATCTTTCACATCATACAATATATACATAACACACACTCCTTTAAATAGGCAAACACTTATTTTATATTCCACATGAAAATGACGAGTCTGGGGGCAAAAGGGAACTAAGTTTTTCTTCAGCTCTGGTTCAAGCTCCACATGTACAATCTATTCTAAGGCTATCTTTATAGTGGTACAAGGGAAAAAATGAAAGGAGGAGAGAGAATCCTTTTAAAGTAGGAAAAGCTGTAGATTCCCAAAAGATTTAGAGATTCACCAATGTAACTCTTCCTTTAAAAAACCCAACTCCAAGGGTGTGTCAAACTCAACCTTCCAGAGAAGGATATCTAAATAAGGTTACCCTACTCTAACCAGAACTCACAGCCCTGAATTGCTCTCTCCATTTTGACCCTCAAAAGTGGAGTCACTTACACAATTACGTTGCTTCTCAAATTTAATTTGCATACAGATCACCTGGGGACCTTGTTAAACTACAGATTCTACTTCAGTAGGCCTGGTGTAAGGCTGCCAGGTGAAGCTAATGCTGCTGGTCCTGCTGATCCAGGGACCAAACTTTGAACAGCAAGAAACTAGCAGGAGACTGACTATCCTTCAACATTCATTTTCAAACTCTGGTGTTCATCAGAATCTCCCAGGGGTCTTGTTAAATTCAACTACTTGCAATTCTGTACTTGCTCAGGGTGAGCTAAACATCTATAATATAACTATCACAAGTGATTCTGGTAGACACCAAAGATTAAAAGCAGCAGACCTAACATACAAAAGGGGGGAGAAGAGGGAAAGGGTACCATTTACATCACAGACAGTGTAAATTTGTTTCTATTTATGACATTTTTCACCATGTGGCAGTGAAGCATCTTGAGGAAGGGGTGCCTTTTTCTACCAAGCACAAAGGCATTTTATAGGACAGCAGCAGCCCTGTGATGCCAACTGAGCAGTTGCCTGCTATAGACAGACTACCTTGTCCAAGGACTGTGGACTCCAAAGAGGAAAGGAGAATGAAGATAATAGTCACTGCCATGGCTACTTGTCAGTTCATAAGGAAGTAAACATAGCTGGAGCATTGTCTTCCTTCTCTGTCTCCAACTCAATGGGGAACCAAAAGTCCATTTCTCATAGCTATTGGTTTATCACTGAGCTGAAAAAATCAAAGTAGTGAGTTATCAACTGTCCTGGGGTAAGAAGCACAAAGGGCTGTTTTCCTCAACAGTTTTTCCCCCGAACCTGGAACTAGCTTCCTAGTTTATTGGAAGTCTACTTTGTTGTCCTAAATGTAACCCAATCTCTATCTTTTCCCCAAGACAGCCAGGTGCATACTTTCTTTTAGCTGTTTGATAATTAGACTTTAGGGATGTTGCGCAGGAATACATTCTCATGCTTCATTTCTGGTTATCTCTAGTGGTGAAGTCACCAAAGTAGCCCAGAAATTCATGTACTATTGTCCTTAGATAGAAAATAAAATTGTGAAGACTTGATTGCATGCTTTTCACCTTTGACCAAAAGATAAAAAGGTATCAGCCACTGGAGGCACAGCAACATAAAGCTACATAGTGTTTACTACACATACAATTATCTCAAAAAGTTTACAACTAAATTGAACACCTGTTTTTACAAGTCAAACACTAAAGGATCAATATAAAATTGGCTGCAGACATATCAAAGATGCTATCACTTTTTTAAAAACAAATTAAAACAACCTCTGCTTCGTTCTTTATCAGAGTGTAATCTTCTTACTCTGAAATTTCTGGGCAGTTTTTGAAGAGTAAGCCTATGAAGGGGAGAAAAAATATTCCTTTCAAATCCTTCGTAGCTGTAGGGAAACGGTTACTTCTACCAAATCAGAGAGCTACATTTATTTCAAACCAAAGGATTGGAGCCAAACTGCGGTCTGTCAAATGGAGGATGCCAACTTTCTCAGTGGCTAACATTTTTTGAAAAAAGACAAAGAGACAAGAAAAACAGGCGGGGTCTGGGTCTCTAGGTGCAGACCATGAGAGACTTGTAGGATAGGAAAAAATCTTCAATGGGCCAGACCATGGCCATACAACACAACGACCAGGGACGCCCACAAGACACCCTCACCGCCAAAAACAGTTTCAGCCTTCAAGTATGTACCGCTGGCTATGCTCCAGGTACTGTTAAAAGCGTGGGTGAGGGGACTATTAGAAGGTGAGAAGTAAGAAGAGCAGTCTGTTATACTCCTTCCCACTCTGGAAATAACCTTCCTGGTCTATACTAGGCAGTTTAAACCCGGATCCCGGGTTACATCAATAGCTCCTTCAACCCAGGTCTCTAATCTCCCCCAAGACAGATTTCAATTCTAGGAGGGTGAGAGAGTGGGGCAGAAGTTCCGGAAACCCTTCGAACCTTCAGTGTGTACAAATCTCTTCTACGCGAAGAAGCAGAGCTAAGGTTCTTGTGCCCAAGAGAGAGCAGTATCTGTTTCCCCCTGCTACTTGGGAGCCGGAGCGCGGAAGAGCCACGGAAGCGATGCGAGCCGTTAGCCGGGTCAGCGCTGCTGGGAGCCGGAACCGCCGGCCCTCCCCATCCGCACTGTGGCATGGCCGCCAGCGCCTGCTGCCCTCCCCGCCCTCCCGGGGCCCCGGACCCGGCCGAGCGCGGGAAGCCAGGGAACCCAGGCGCTCTGACGGGCTGTGCCTGTGGCTGCTGCCTTTCTACGAAAGGGCGGCGAGGTCTCCGCGCTCAGGGCGCCCCCGCCTCCGACCCCGCCGGGCGCACCTGCACTCGGGGCTGGCGGGGACCCCGCTGCGCCCCCTCGGCGAGCCCAGGGCCCGCACTCTCAGCCTCGCGGGTTGCCCACCCGAAGTAGAGCCAGGTGCGCTCTGCGCGCGGGGCGCCCCAAGCCCTCCGGCCGGCTCAGCTCACGCGTCCTGGAGGCGCCCGGCTGCTCTCGGCCCGGGCTTCCCGAGGGGCGCGCCTCACCTGCTTGCCCCGGTAGAAGAGGCGCTGGCACTCGGGCCGCACGTCGAACAGCGCCCACACCCGCTCGCGCAGCTCCTCGATTGTGGCTTTGCGAGACACGTCCTCAATGGTGCGCGTCTGGGAGCCGTCGATGGTGCGAACCTGGATCCACATCTTGGCGCCGGGAGAGGGGGCCGGCCCCGCTTTGTCTCCCCCTGCGCTCGGGGCGCCGCGCCCCGCCCGGCCCGCGCCGCTTTCCCGGCCGCTCTGACTGTCCGCGGCCGGCGGGCGAGCGTGCACACAAGCGAGGCAGACCGACCAGACGCCGGGCCCCAGAGGCGGCGGCGGCGACTCCTAGACCCCGCGCCCTCCCAGAGGAGCTGAGGAGGGAAGGAAACCGGAACTAGTTGGAGGCGCCGCCGCCACCGCAGCCCCTGCCTCACAAATAGGAAGAAGCCTTGTCTGCGCCGCGCCGAGTGTTTACTTATAGAGCTCTAGCTCCCACATGGAGGTCACGGCGCCAACCCGGATCTCGCGAGACCCACGCTGGGCTCCGCCTTAAAGAGGAAGCGACTGGGGAAGTAGCTTTGGACGAGAGAGAACTAAAATGGGCGGGTGCGGGGAGGGCAGGGCGGGGCTGGGGAGGCGGAGCTTCCGAGAGCCGTTATTTGCCCCTCCGCCTGCACCTGGGGCCCTGGACACGCCCTCTAGCCTTCGGGTTTCGGGCGGTTGCAAGGCCGCCCACACCGGTTGCCGTTTTGGTCTTCCTTTGGCCGCAGGGGGCGGACGCCTCCTCAGGCCTAGCGGATACGGTTCTGTAGTCTCAACAACACACGAAAAATTAGAAACTCTGACGTGCACTTGGATGATCATGAAAAGGAGTGCGGGCGAGCGCGGCCTAAATTTCTGAGAAAGCACATAAGTAAATGAGCCCGCTCCACCCCGCTCAGCCGGACACTGCCCGCCACGCGGCCTGGCGGGGCTGGCCGCCAGGGAAGGCCCCGGGGATCCTCCTGCTTCGCGAACTCGTTTCCCGCCGGGCCCAAATGCTGCCTTCGCGCGGAAACCCACTTCCTGGGGTTTCCCGCCGCTGGGCTGAGGTGGCGGCCCCGGGCGCACAGGCCGCGGGTCCTGCTGGGATCGCCCTCGGGCCCGCCGCGCTCACAGCCGGATCTCCGGCCGCTGAGGTGGTGGTGCCGCCGCCCGGAGGGCCGCTCCACAGCCGGCCGTTTCCGTTTGCGGCCCTTCCGTAATCTTGCGCCTCGGGCCTAAGAGACTGCGGGGTCATGGAAAACACCGTCAAAGGCTGCAGAACTAGACAGCTCCGAAGAAAGAACCCCAAAGATGCTACTAGGAATAAATTCTCAGAAATGGGCCCAGCGCAGCATTACCTAACAGTGGCCTTATTTAAATGAAAATATGTCTTCATAAAAAGAAAGAGAGCATATGAAAGTAGAAAAATAGAACTTGGACTTCATATTTGTCAAAATCTGTATCTTGAATGTTTAGACCGGTGCTAAGTATTACCATAAAGATACCGCAGCATTTTTGTAATAACGAATTTAAACAAGTACAGAGAAGTCCAATAGTATCATAAGAAAACGATGGTCCAACACGGAAGGGACAGAAAAAATGGAGCGCTCTACTACATATTTCGGGTCTCTGCCTTTGCTGAAAATTTTACCTTCTATCCTCTAATTTGTCTTGGCTGCTCCTGAATTAAATAAAGCAAATATTGAGTATTCATTACATGTGTAAATGCGATGAGGAAGCTTGGTAAAGCACATTTATTACCAGCTCCAACAAGGGTTAGCTATTTGCTGTTATAAGGATATGCTATGCCCTTGTGGGGAAACATTAAGAATTTCTTTTTTATAAATTCCCTGCTCACAAAGAATTTACAAGCTAGTTCAGATAAGATTCGGAAAAATGAAAATATTAAAGAATAATTTAGTACTAAACAGTCTGCTGTTGGTTAAGACAGCAATTAGAAATGAGAGAAGGGGGACTAGAATGATCTGGGAGCTTAAGGATAGGGGTACAACTTGAGTTAGATGGTATATTGTAATGGGGGCAGCATTTAAATGTTCAGTTCATGGATTGAGATACCTGAACTGTAATCCCAGTTTTGCTGTTTACTTAAAATGTTACCTTGGACAAATTATTTGCTTCAATTTCCTCAATGTAAAATGATGCTTATAACATCTAATGAATGTAAAGTGTTTAGCACAGTGCCTATCCCTTGGCAGTACACAATAAAATATTTTCATGCTGTTCTTATGGAGAGGATTTAGATAAGCAGAGAATGCCCAAAGAGGAGAGAGTGCTTAACCAAAGACAGAAGGTATGCATTTTTACAGGTCGGAAGAGATTGCATATCAGAGAAAGGTTGACTAAATAGAGAAGGGCAGAGTGTGAAGATTAGCATTCAAAGCAGTAGATTTTGTGGCCCGAGGGAGAAACTAAGGTTTTTAAGGAGTCCACTGACAAGATTAAAAATGCATTTGGAAAGACAGCAGAAGGAATGTGGAAGGATGCCTCAGGGAAAAACTAAGGGACAGGGAGAAGAGGGGGGAGATGTTGCCAGAAAGCTTAGTGTAGAGGCACATTGTGCCCGTTTTGGTGAACTTTGTGGCAGTGAGTAAGAGAAGAAAGGGTAGATTCCAGAGTATTCTAGACAGTCAAGGCTATCAGACTTGTAGAATGTGGATATGAGGGATGAGGAAAATGGAAGGCTGGGAATAATTCCCAAGTTTCTAGTTTGGGAAACTTGGATGTCTTGGGTAGATGGTGATGCTCTTAACTGAACTAGAAGAGAAAGCAAGTTGGGAAAATGCATTGAGTTCCGTTTGAGCTGTACTGCATTTGAAATGCATCCAAAACATACCTAGGTGGAGATATCTGACAGTTGGAAATACAAGTCCAAAGTTTTGAAGGGAAGTAGAAAAGACGAATTAGTCAAGATCTCCTGTACTCACTCCTGTGAGGCGACTTATCTTTCTTAAGGTGGTGGGTCTTTAATGGAGAACTCTTGCCGGGGGGCGGGGAAGACTACTGTCAAAATTGAGTGTCCCTGGGACTGTATAGGATTTGTGTCAATCTAGTCAATATAGATCCCAAAGGATTGGCAGAACAGGGCTTAAAGATCTGAGAACCAGAAAAGATACATTTGTCCCATGCAGACCAAATTAATTACATCTGGAAACATAAGCTTATGTGTGTAATAAGTTACTTAGGATATAAATAAGTAATTGGAAATAGTGATTCTACATGTAACAAAATGCATTCCTCTGTGTTTCTCCACACAGTATATATTGTAACTAAGGTTTTTTCTCTTTCCCTACGATGTTGTTTTTGTCTGTATAGGAAGCTGGCTAGCTGTAAAAACAACACAGAAGTTTTCTGACGAAATCCACAATATCAGACAGTTCAGACATACCATGCCTTATGGTCAGATGTGTAACTGAAACAACTTGGATATGAACAGGGAAAGAAAAGAGGAATTATTTGCATGGATGAAAAGCGAATACTAAAGTTTATGCCATCAGTCACGATCCAATATTTGTTCAAGCCACAAGAGGCAAAAACAGAAAGATACAAGATTGCATGTAGAACTAATTATTCTAGAATCTTATCACACCTCAGAATGTCTCGTTTTCTCAGCTAATGTCCCAAAGTCAAGAACTTTTATATATATTAAAAAAGTGAATTTCAATCTTCTCTCTGAAGCTATGATTACTACCTTTTCATCACCACCTCTGTGTTGATTGTCTTCCTTTTGCTCCGCTAGGGCTTCTCTCTACCTGTTTGCTGTCCTGGAGTCCAAGGGCAAGAAGTACATCAATGGGGTCAACGCCCTCGGGCTTCCAACCCGTGTTTGGCTAGTGGAGAGGAAGCACAGACAGGAAACTGTAGGTTGGGAAAAGAATGAGGTCAGTATATTTATTCCTCTGGCTTTCTCCCTGAAAGGTCACCTCTGGCTGGCTGTTGCCTTCCTGGGAAGTCACTACTCCTCTTAAAGTGGCCTGCTCTCAATGACTTACTCTTCCATGTTCTGGTAATCTCTCCCTCCCCTTGTTGCTTTTTGCCTAGGGATTGTAACAGCTTTGCAGTCCTAGATTCATTCACATTCCTTCAGTTCTCTATACCTTGGCCCACACCCTTTTACGTGGTCCTTTGGGGGAAAAAACTTAGTAACTTAAATAACTAAGTAACTAAGAAAAAACGAAGTAACTTAGCTATAGGTTTGCTGTTATGATGGCTAATGGATTTTTGGGGTTTTCTTTTGTTTTTTGGGTTTTTTTGAGGAAGATTCGCCCTGAGCTAATATCCGTTGCCAATCTTTCTCTTTTTTTGCTTGAGGAAGATTAGCCCTGAGCTAACTTCTGTGCCAATCTTCCTCTATTTTGTATGTGGGTCGCCACCACAGCATGGTTTGACGAGTGCTGTAGTTCTGTACCTGGCATCCAAACCTGCGGACCCAGGCTGCCAAAGCAGACTGCACAGAACTTTAACCACTCGGCCATGGGGTGGCCCCTCTAATGCTATTTTTAAAAGAACTATATGTTATAAGAAGTACACTAGAATTTCTTGACTAAAAAGCACTTCATATTGTGGCTCATTACTTAAACCAGCCATATTTTAAAGGGTGTGCTCTTTCCTTTTAATAGAATCATAGATTTTTACCTTGGAAATGTACTTCAGAGGTCATTCTACTCTAACCTTCTGTTTAACAAACGAGAAAATGATTTGGACAAGGACATGTAATCAATGAATGACAGTGTTAGAGCTTAAACCCCTGACGTCCTTCCTATCTAGCCAGTGTTATTTACCCTTCAGCTACCCTGCCCTCTTCTGTTTCTCTGGAGGCTTCCCCATTCACTTTGTCCAGAGGAAGAATCCTCATCCTTCCTGCAGTGAGTGTTCCTGGTTCTTTGGAATACCTGATGGCTCAGGTAGGAGTGGGGACCTGGGCTTCTTACTAAAGCCTTTCAATTTATCCCTGTTTTCAGTTGCATGCCTTCTCCTGCCTTCTGAGATTAGTTGCATGCCTTCCTATTGCTGAACCTTTCTGAGAGTCTTCAGGTCAATTCAGCTCAGATTTCCACACTAAAGGCAGTTGGGGTTCAACTTCCTGATGGTGGGGTCAACTTAGGGTTCAAGTTCCAGTTACAACTTGCTTGCAAAACAGATTTTAGAGGTTTAAAATAATAGCAGTCACTTCACTATCTCTCACAGCTTCCATGGGACAGGAATTCTGAACTGGCTCAGTTGGAAAGCCTGAGTTCTGGCTCAAAATCTGTCATGCCATTGCAATCAGATGCAGTTAGAAATGGAAAGTTGGGGACTAGAGCAGTTTGGAACTAGCCAGGCATCTCTCCCTAAGAAATTCCGGGACTTCTCCATGTGGTCTGTCTCTGTGGGCTAGTTTGGGTTTTCTGACAGCACG